CTGTCAACTGTCACGCAATTTGCGTATTTGTCACGCATTTGCTGAAGAATTTGAAGTCACGGCAGTTATTTTTGCGTGACAGAAAATGTCACGCAAATACGCATTTTACCTGGTAATTGTCAAGCAAAAATATTTCTGTAGAAAAATTTCTAAAAAAGATCGTCTACACAGTAAAAATACGAACGCCGAATTACGTATATGTCACGCATTCCGTTCGAAATTTTTCAAAATTTGGATCAAGGTGTTCAGATTTAGACCAAGGTGTCCACATTTTGAGGGGAGGTGTTCAACATTTCCAAGTCACTCATGTTAGGTGTTCCCAAGTTGACAGGCCTGCAATTTACTGTATAGTATGTAGCATAAAACTGCAGCTTTGTATAGCAATGATGCTCTCTGAAGTGACAAGTTTTACTCTGTAGCATGTGACCGTGGCGTTGAACCGTGCATTATGACTGTTAATTAGTTACCACAGTTATCCCAAGATGCTATTGTTACAGTATGGCACGATAGGTTGTGACAACTGTTGTACCAATTAACTTGTATCTGACAGTGTCAAAATTGTATAAATGGTACTCGTATGTATAATATAAGTGAGTAAAATGTATAATATAAATGAATATACAGTAAAACCTGTATATCTGAACACCTGGCTTATCCGAACACCTTCCAATTTGAACCTACTGTATAGGTAAAAAGTTCTCTTGAAATTTCGAAGTGATTTTACCTGTTAATTCTGTCCATGGTCCGCCATTTTTGCGGAAGTTACACTGAAACGCAAACTCGATGAAACGAAACAAAATCACTAGAAAAAACATGGCACACATTGTGCGCATGTGCAGCAAAGTTTAGACCAATCTGATTATTTGATTATTTTGCGCACATGAATTATTTGCTTCTGAACTCTTACAAGCTCACCACAATAAACAAACCTGGCAGAGACTACCCTTAGCCTACTCCATTTTGGCGAAATTTCAGCTCAAACTCGTGACAAATGCATTATACATACGCTGGTGTGAAGCCTTGGAGACACTCATTTTGGTAAATATGATTTATGGGGTATACTTTTCTGCATGCAGTTTGTGGGAGTTTGGAACATTAAATGTTAAAATTCAAGAAAATATGCCAATTAAAGCTGGACTACGCTCCGAAACGCAATCTTGGGTTGTTTCGGGGGTGAACTTTATCATTTTGAGCTTAATGAAAGATTATAGAATGATGAACAAATGGGGCAAATCTTGTGTAGAAATACTTACGATAAATGTGTACCATGAACATACGGGCACAACATACATACAAGACTTACTTGTAAAGTGGAATACACTTGTAAGTGGAATCTTATTCCACTTGTAAACAAGTTATGCAGGAAAACTAACTTGTGAAAGACCAATACTAAAAGTTGTTTAAACCTGCACATCGCTCCAAAACGCAATCTTGGGTTGTTTCGGGGGTGAACTTTATCATTTTGAGCTTAATGAAAGATTATAGAATGATGAACAAATGGGGCAAATCTTGTGTAGAAATACTTACGATAAATGTGTCATTTCAAAGATTTTTCATTGAATTTGCTTCGATCGGAGCCGGTGATATGATTTTGGAAAGGTTTCTAAATGAAGAACGTGACGTCACTTCCGAATCATAGCATTCAAAATAAGTAGCGTGTAATTACTTCCACCATTCATAATAATATGGTGGTGTAGCGGTAGAATCCTCGCTTAGCACGCGGGAGGGCCCGGGTTCGAATCCCGCATTCGCCTTTTTATTTTTTTAACTAAATGATTGTTCTTTGATATTACGCAGAAAAAAATAATTTTTATTTACATAAACTTTATATTAGAGCTTGAAAATGTAAAAACAATATATGTCAACATATTGCGTTTTGGAGCGATGTGCAGGTTTAAACGACTGATCAATTAATATATACCAGCACTGTAGTCACGCTAATGTCAGATCAATAGGTTTCATGGGACATGCCTTGCATTTTGCGCATGCGCACTTACACAAAGTAGAATCGAATCAGTTGTAGATTGCCCTTACTCGAAAATCATGAAAATATACAAAATCACATAAAAAAAGTAAAATACAAAATCCCATAAAAAGTTAGACAGCAAATTCCTAGGTCCTCCAGCTCCACACAAACAATTTTGTGGACTTGAAGAGCACGTGTGTATAATATTAATAATAAATATAAGTTTAAAAACTTACTATGTAACTGGCCGCCAAGAAAACAGCTACATTCTTCGATAACTCAATCACAACTTTCTAATCCGCCGCCATGTTTCTTGACCCATTTAGTAATATGAGTTTCGTCCAGTGCACTTTTCCCGGGGAAGTATAAATGGACGTTGAAATACATGTAGACCTATCACATTTAAGTTAGGGGAGGCATCAAAAGATCAATGTCTGATGGAAAACTAAATAAATCTAGTTTGGGGGGGAGGGGGTCAAAGCCATTTCAGTTTGCTATCCGACAAATTTCAACATTTAGATTTTTTGCAATTTCGAGTCGAAATGCCTTGGAATGGTTTAAAAATGAAGACTTTACTAGATGCCTTCTTCACCAAGATGCATGCAACATGGAATATCATGCCTATTGTTGTTGGCACATGTTTAAGAATCATGAATAAGTTATAGTACTGCCCCCATGAAAGTCCAAATTGAGTCGCTAAAACATGTGAAAAGTCCGCAATCAACTTTCATTGTATTTAGTTTTGAGGGGGAGGGGGGGGGTCCAACTCAAAACTAGATTTATTTAGTTTCCTATCAGACATTGAACTTTTGATGCCTCCCCTTATAGAATAGAACATTCATAGAACGTTTATCATGATAACTGACATATTTGTTTGGGTTCACCACTTGGGGTTTCTGGGAAAACCTGGAATACGACACAATAACACTCACACGACTTGCGTTGTACTGTAGATAGGTGTTCACTACAAGAATAATTTTCACATAGAAATGTTTTCTAGGGAAAGTTTATCAGTTGAATGAGGACCTCACTATGTTTTAGCATGGGCTTTCAATTAGAAGGGTATGTAACTCTGTGTTATAAACATGAGACCTTCTAAACGAGCAATGCCATGCATGCTTCCCTTTTTATGGTAAGTATTTCAAAAAGTATTAGATAAATATATTTAGTCTTATTTTGAAAAAAAATCAATTATCAATATGATTAAAGCATAAAATATGCTCAATCTCATGTAAAAGTAATCAAAAAGACCAATAAGAATATAAAGAGGTGTCGAGATGTTCTCTTCGAGTATTGCGTTGTGGGTAATTATTCAAAAACACATTCCAATAAAAGCATAATTTGTGGGAGAATGTTCACTTTCTTTATTGCCATAATTATGATGAATTCCATTTTTATTAAATAATTAACATATACAATGTAGATAATCATGTTTTTATTTTTGAGTTATTTCTTTAAATCGCCCATAAAAAGTGCAAAATAAGATTTTATTGGAATGTGTACATTCTCCAATTTTGAAAACCCAAAGGAAATGCTTATGTATGAAATAAGGGGAGTTGCCTACCCTTCTACTTGAAAATCCATGGTTTCAATAGCTTGTAATGGAATGTTTCAGTAATTATACATGCAGTAGCTACATGCAATTCTTTTTAAGGAGAAAAGTTAAATAGGGCTATGCCAATTATATTTGTGTTTTACATTATAAAACCTTATTCATTTGTACCTCATAAAATTGAATTCTGTATCTTTATTTTTCTCAAAAATGATTGAGATTTACTTTTCGATCTATTTCTAAATCTTCTTCAGGTAAACTGAATTAGAGTTATTTTCAATTATCATATACATATGTTATTTAATAATATAATATATACTAGTAGTTGGAAATAACTCTGTTTACCTGAAGAATATTTAGAAATAAATCAAAAATTTGTAGATCTCAATCATTTTTGATGCTATTTAACTCTTATTAACATATTACATTTATTTTTGTCTTCATCAAAAATGGGGAATGGCGGCAATGGCCCAACACAGAGATCACCAACAGAACAAAAAACTGCATGAATCATAGTAAATCTGTAAATACTGGATTTTCTATATTTCAGGAAAAATGTATACAATAACAATATTACATGATTACTTACACTTTCAAAGATACATAGCTATCCTTATGATCCTACCCCATATAAGTTGAGAACCATGTACAGTATGGCAATTGATTTAGACAGTACCGTAGTACTTGCTCAACATAAATATGCCATTTTTCATAAAGACAATATGTTTTAGTAAAAGTAAAGTCAATTATCAATATCCATAAGTACAGGGTGTTCAGGAAATAAAGATAATAATGTTACCTGTATGTGTGTCATTTTTTATAACAACAATATGTTTAAGTAAGAGTAAAATCAATTATCAATATCCATAAGTATATGTGTACAGAGCATATACCTTATATATACCCAGGAAAAATGTTTGCCAATCAGTCCGGCTGATTTAATCTGAAAATATACTTGGGATTTTGTACAATTTTGATCTAATCAATGACCTACATGTATGTTCACAGAATGTATAAAATGATTCAGATCCAGCTGAAAAACATTAATTTGCATTGCTAATTCCATATCAGACATGTCAGAGACCAGGTGAAATTCTAATCTTCTATGCAAAATATTATAGAGGCTGGCTCTCCGTAGGCTATAAGAACAACCTACACAAATACCAGTTCTCACATTATCCTTTGCAGCAAAAACAAAGAGTCAACAGATTTTGCTCTCATTATTTCTCAGTAATTATAGTTCATATTGTAACTGCATTCCTATAGTCTTGCTTCGAGACTGTTAAATATACTATGTGGACTACTTCACCAACCACAACACAGTAGTTAGATGGGGGCAGCACAAGGGCGTGTAGCTAGACTACATTCCGACTTTATAACACATTTATCATTCACATGAATAACTCAACAATGCAATAGGCTGCATATCAACTCAAGGCTGCATTACGACAAAAGGGTGCATTTCATCAAAAGGCTGCATTTCAACAGGCTGCATTTCATTAAATTGTAATTTCAAGTGAAAGTAGCTTAAACTGTAAAGGGGTGTTGTAACCCCAGCTCTATCATGTCATGTTTGTGTCAGAACCTTTATCTGCATTACAAAAAAGGCAAATTCAAAAAAGTATACATATATTCATACTGACCAGACCTATCTCTTTCAATGTTTGCAATCATGACTGAGAAGAACAGAACAATAACATTTTTATTTTTTAGCATAAAAATTGAACTTTTTACCACTTCCCCTAAACAAAATTACTTTCGAAATAAAAAGAACCCATTGATATTTCAAGAATCACCCCGGCCACATATAACAATTCTCTAGATGTCACTATCATAACACACCATCAACAACATCAAGTCCATTCTGTTCAGCTATAGTGTCAATATCCTGTTTCAACTCTTCTAGTAGTTGCTCTGAGTACTCTTTCTTCATCCCTCTGGGTAGACCTCTACATGAGCCAAGGTTTAAAGATTTCAAGTTCGGACAGCCTTTTAATAACGACCTGAAAGTTAAAGCAAAATAATTTTGTATGTTAAATCAAAATACTTTACATCACAACACTCTCAGGTAAACACAATATTATATAATGCACTCATAAAACAATAATGTATACAATCAGTTACAAATATCAATTATTCATCATGGTAAATTCAAATAAAATAAAAACATATATTTGTGTAACATAAGGAACAACTGAAAAATGATCCAGCACTCAAAAAATAATAAAGGATAAGGTAATGCTGACATTTTCTAACAAGAAAAACATTAGAAATGGTCCAATCTTCATTCTAAATATGAATCAAGTTGGCTTAACAAAAATGTTACCAGGATCTACAGTATTCGATCCCAAAAACTCCTGATTGTTTAGTTATTTCAAGGAGGGTGGGATAGTTTGATATTACAGTAAAACTTTCTAATCAAAATGCCAGTGGGACCCAGCTAAAAGTATTCGGATTAGGCAATGTTCACCATTCAAGGCTTTTGCATTCGAGAGACTCTGAATATTGAAGAAATTCATACATTGTCACTAAATATTTTTAGTTCTTTTGACCATTCCAGTAATTTGAATATCTAATTCAAATGAATTTAGTCATGTTATAAAGCCCCATTATGATGAGATTATTAGTATGAAACGTGTGATATTTTATTAAAAGAGTTCAGATTAGACGCTTTAATTTTTCAAATATGACTGTTCACTTGTTCAAATTGGCAGGTGTTAAAGGCCCCATATAAAGTTTAAACCACTTTGGCTTATATTGTAGTCTTACCCAATGTTATCAAAGTGTGATATGTGAAACTTTTTTTTTTAATTTCAAAAAGTGGTTTTTGATAGACTTTTTGTTCCAAAATTTGTGAATTTATTTAAAACCAACTTTTAGAGGTCACTCATATCTTCTAATTAGCCACAATTCATACCAATGCATAGCATTCATCCTCCCGTGTTTTTTGCCGAAAAAATTAAGAAAATCGGTTCATAAATAAGCGAGAAATGAACTTATCAGTGCATGAAAATGGTTCTGAGAAAAATGCATTTCAAAATTTTAGTTCTCATAGAAACCAATGGTACAATGATATCTAAAACATAATTTATTCTTCCTTTTAACCTGGTTAGACAATCAACATTGGTTTTTTATGAAAGTCTAACATATTTAGAAAAGATTGACATCGAAAAAAAATTTCAATTTTTTTCAAAAAGTTTTTGGTACCTTAGTGACATCACTAATGTTTCAAAATATTTTTGATATGCTAAAACATTAAAGTGGCCCATTAAATATGTTATTTTATTATTGAAATAGTGTGTCCTTTGTTCAACCTTTGCATTGGTGTTAAAAAGATAATCTTTTTTGAAATGCATTAAGAAATATTTGATGATTAAGAAATTTCAACTTTTTTTGAAAAATGGCGGGAAATTTGAATATTTGAGAAATGAAATGCTCACAACTTTTTTTTCAAAAAAAATTTTTTGTTCAAAAATCTCTAAAATCACTTTTTAAGTCCTGACAAATAGTAAATGAATGATAAAAAAATATTTTCAAACTTTAGACGGGGACTTTAACATTTCAAGTTTTTTTGTATGGGACTCAATGGGGGGAAATGGGACCAAAACGTGTTCAGATTTGAAGGTATTCAGATAAGCCAGTTGTTCAGATTTACAGATTTTACTGTAAGTCTAAAATAATAACCCATGCCACCCCCCAGTTTCTTTTTCTGACTCTAACCTGACTCTATGGCAGGAGATTGATGTTCCACTGAGGTTGATGATCTGTAGTTTTGACTGGTGGGGTGAACTGGCCAGTTTGTTCATGGCAATGTCTAAAGACATCCCTGGGTACATGTTCCATGACAGATCTAGTTCTAGCATACTGTGCTGCCACTGAAATATATAGCAAAGATTGCATCTATAAAGAGATACTGTAGCTACACTTATACATTTATATGACAGATTTGCTCAATGTCAAATATTGGTGGCTATTTAATTTGATTCAGGACTGAAGTTTAATTTTTGTAGATGTTTATGTCATTCGGACAGGTGTTTACTAAGATATTTTCTGTATTTCTTTTGGAGTAATGTAGAATTGATGACATGTTGACAGGAAAAGGGGCCCCTGGAGTTTAATTTCTGAAGTGCATTGGACAAAAATTCCAAACTCAAATTAAAACGGGAACCAAATGAAGTGAATCTACAGTATTTCTTGGTATTTTTGCAGTCAAGTTAGTACAAATATTTAAAAATTCAATGATGTAAAACTGCAAAGAAATTCATTGACTATGGATTTACCAAATAATAAAATATTGGTGACATGTCTCAATGAAATGAATAGCATTTAATAGACTAGATGCCAGTGCCAGTAGAAATAATTCTACTTACTGAACAGATCACTAAATATACTTTTCACTCAAATTAAAGGTAATTTTTGTGTTGTACCATACCTGCAATGTTATCTTACCTTAGTTCTCTGGTGGTGACAGTGATAACTAACTAATACCTGTATATGAGTTATTGCAATTTTGAAAATGAAATGAGGAAATAAATATTAACCTTCATAAGTATGAGTTCAATACTCTCATATCTTGCCACAGAACAGTTGGAGATGTAGAGATGTTCCAGGTCAGCAGCTATGATATTCCTTAAGCCACTATGAGTGATCTGGCAGCAACCTCTCAAGTCTAACAATTTTAATTTTGTCGCATTTTTCAAAACTCTGAAAAACAAGACACTGGATGAACAATAGTGTACCCTTGAAGAGAATATCGAGAAAGGTTAATAAAATGTTATATAGTAAGTAAGTAATATTATAATGATTTTGTATAAGGGATAAAAGTAATCTATGTTTTAGTCAAGTTTGCAAATCAGGATGGAAAATCCAAAATGACCAAAAACAAAAACACAGCAGTTCTTAACTCCATACCAAGAAGCTTCCCTGAAAATGTCAAATTGTTTAGTCCATGGACATTTTTTTGAAAAGTTTCAAAGGACAAGTTTTTTATTGAGGAAAATTCAAAATGATTGCATTTAATATTTACCAAGTATGCCAAAACTTTTTTCATTTTCAATTCTAGATTTTCTTAAAAGAAACATCCATAAAGATCTTAAATAAATCCTGCATGCACAAGTGGTTTGTCTGAAAACTCATTTGGTCTAGTATGGCATATTTAATGAACAAACCTGCGAAGAAAAATGTCATTCACGGCTAATCCTACACTTGCTCCTGTGCCAACAGCAAGGCTAAGTTCTTCTAGAGCAGGAAAACCTCCAGAGTCAGCCTGTAACATGTAATGGTGTCACATCATCTAAGGTAGGTATTCAATACATCTTGCAGATACAACATTTGACTACCAGTACAGGTACTGTACTGTAGTTCATTACTGGTTTCACCTCTTCACCATGAGATAGCTGATCAATTTTAAAACCATATTTTTAGTTGTAATTTAGCATGTGGATTTGAGTTGGTAGAAAAGATGACTACATGTAGCATAATATTTGAAAACATGAGCCATTAAGTGAATAGCATACCTGCACTTTAAAAGTAGCACTTGATGGCCTGAACTTAGAGTTGGTGAGTCTTAATACTTTCATATGTGGACATCCAGTCTGCAGACCTTCTATGTCCAGGGTTGTGAAGTCAGATGAAGAAATAACATTACTGAGGTCAAGCAGCTCCAACCTTGTACAGTTTGCCTAATGATATGTTTAAGTATACAATAGATAATGTGTATGGCATTAAATATTATGTCTATGGCATGTATGGGGTTCCTTACAATCTCAAATATAATATCTCCCAAAAGATCCACGATATGCTATCAATTGGTTTAAGGATTCAAACTGCAAAAATAGGGGGAATCTAGTTCTCCCAAATAATAAATGCGGTAGGCACATTTATTGAAAAATAATGCATCATTGATTTGAAATCCTCGAATAAAGTATACACTGTGGGAATTTTTAGAAAATAGGTATGAAAAAGAATGAGCTCAAAAATATACTAAAATGAAACCATGCATATACTGTACATGTTTATATACATGTACAATACTGTACATGTACATGTACTTTCTTGCTAGATCTGATACTACCTTTAACTATCAATATATAGTTAGCTATACTAAATTGATATTCAGAGCAGATATTATTGTTATACATATACATACATGTAAAGTATGTTAAATTAATGTAATAATTACTAATCTGATAATTACAATATATACAGTATATATTGCAAAGCAATTAGCACAAAGTCACTTACAATAATGGCAGAAAGAACATGGTTCAGACCCTTCACTGTATTTCCTGCTAAACTTAGATGTATTAGACCTCCTCCACATTGCTCTATTATATGTACATAGGCTGCCTTATCTGTCACCTGCAACAAACAAAGATTTAAAATGATGGATGGACAAAACAAGGCATTATGCAAAATGACATCACCTGTCTCTGTTTCTTCCATAAATAAAGCTTTGATTTATGAGATTTCTATGTAAAAGCGTCAAAAGTTATTTCTTGTAATATTAATTCCATGCTTGGGATTTCCTTATTGCTTCAATTGACTTATAGGTACATTCTCTCTGATCTACATGTAGGTGTTATGGAAAGGCATGCACTGCTGTAGTAATCTTCCAAGTGAGAAAATGGAAATATGTGGACACCACTTAAATCTACAAACATGTAATTTTGAAGCACTTACTGTAAGAAATGAAAGGTCAATGTGTGAAAGGTTCATGCAGTGATCTCCTATGAGACGAATGGCTGCTGCATTCAACTTCTTACAATATGAAACACACAGGGATTCCAGGTTCTTGCACTTCAAGACTAGATTCTGTAAAAAAGTTTAAATAAATGTAAAAATAAATGTGTTTTCTTTCATGTAAATTTTTCTCCATCACAATTTTTTCTCAGCTGAACAGTATCAAATTTTTATTATGCTGCATATTATACATGTAGCTTGCCAGAGGCCAAGAACTTCAGAATATCCAAATATTTCATGAGTTTATTATACAAATTCTTAACATATAATCTACATTGGGAACCAATCACAGTTTGTTGCAATAAATGCTTATGAAAATGTCAACAACTGGTAAGTTATTGCAAATGGTTACAACAGTGTAACTATTTGTTACAGACCATAAACAATGGCAGTCAATCACTAAACACTAGTCATAAAATTAAAAATGGTAACACACATGTACGCCTATTAAGAGCTCTGTTTTAACCTGACTGAGAACACATACAAAAAAGATATCTCACCTCAAAGCCTTTTATGGTCAAATTCTTCCACGAACTGAGGTTAATAGAAACACTTCTAGATATTCTATTCTCGATCAACCAGTCCAAAGTCTGCTCTGTGGAACGTATCCAACCATATGACAGATCAATAGTTTTCCAGAGTGAGCTATTCAGAGCTACACTCTGCCAATTACTGCACACCTTAGAAGCCCTGAAAATAAACGTAAACTATTAAGTTTTGCATAATCATTACATAAATTATAAAGGGAAAATGCAAAACATAATTTGAAGCTGAAATTATTATGGTAGATGTGCAGTTCAAAATGTGGGATAAGATGGGTAAACAGCTCCAATGGTAAAGTTTGAATTTAAACTTATTTCTTTCTCAAGATCTTAACCATAAAACATTGAGGGCTCTACCTCGATATACCATGAGCTTGAGGTGTAATAGGGACATGTATACTTCCTGTACAGTACACATATATAGCTATCATTGGCAAATATAGACTCTATACAAGTGGAATAGTAGATAGATATGAAAAACCCTTAGTCAAGACAGTCTATGTATATGTACCATATGCTAGCCTATAAGAATTCCCAAGTGTTAAGTGTTAAGCATTTGCACTTCGACAATAACCACATTATGACAGCTCAGGAGTGTGCCATTTGAAATTAAATAAGATGAGAATTTTAATTTAAGAAAAATAAACAAACCCCACCTGCATAGGAATGGCAATGCACCTTGACTGTTGATGACAGCCTGAAATATGCGAACTAGAATCTCTGGTGGAAGATTATCCCAACTATGAGTAATTTGTCCATCAATTTTCATTTTCTTACTTTCCTTTTCACCTATATCATGGTTTTGTTGTCGTTTACGTTTATTTTTTGTTTTTACATTTTCTTTTATGTCTTTTGATTTTGAAAAGAAAGTTGGTTTAGTTTTCTCTAATTTGTGCTTTGATGTTGAAGACTTGGAGTGAGGTATATCTGCTTCCTGAGGATTTGGAGCATATGGTATTGTGTCGCAACTTGAGTCCGATTCAGAATCTGTTATCACAGATTGAATTTTTGATTTCTTCTTCCGTTTCCTGAAAATAAAAGGAAATATATTCCAAGAAACTACAGAAATTATCCATTGTTTAATTACTTTTACACATTGTAGTTTGCAAAAAGAAATTTCTGTATGTTTTCAATTTAGATAAAAATGAATAAATTTTTATGTAAAATGTTTGCTTATCATCTCTTGAACATAAAATAAAGATATATAGGATCACATCAACTTTTTTTAAGAAGACAAAACTGAAGCTGAAATAGATGTAGATTTCAGCCTGGTAACTTTTTTCACTTTACAATATGATCTAAGGTCATAATTTTTATGCTTTAATTGTCATTTGGAATAATTAGATAGTTTCTAAATACTGTAAAACAGGTAATTTTGACACCGGGAAATTTTAGCGATTTTTCAATTTTAGGGGGTTTTGGCGCGGGAAATTTTAGCGAAATGAAGATTAATCTTTAAAAAATCAAATTAGCCAAATGCATTAGAAATTTTATCATTTATGGCAGAAGAATGAATAACGGACATGACAGAGGAATTATCAAAATGTAAGACTTCTAACGCACATGGTATTGGTCCAAACTACTGTAATCTCATCTGAGTAATCACAAAATCATGGTAGCATTTAAATACATACGATTTAAAAATGTTTACTTTTTTCAAATTACAAACCGGAAGTCGAGCACTAAACGAAAAGCTCCTTAAATACTAGTATTCATGTAGTTTCCCAGGAATTTGCAAATTTTAGCGCCCGGTTTATTTTAACCCCGGTTTATTTTAGCGAATTGAATTTTTAGTGAAACTATAGCGATCGCTAACAATCGCTAACAATTACCCCTCGCTAACAATACCCGTTTTACAGTAGCCGAAAAGTGAATGAAAATCAGTGCTGCCATCTAATCTTTTATACAAATTTTTTTCTTGGGCCAGACTTCCATTGACTTCCATATTAAGATCTTCGAAAAGTGATTTTATATCATGATTTATCAAAAAGTGTTGGTTGAATCTGTTTAAAACTTGATTGATATATCATGTGATGATCCTTTTAACATACTTATTGCGATTTATCATCAAAATTTGGGTTGTTAAACTAATAAACCAATATTTTTAGAGAATTTAAACATTGCATCAATGGAGATTTGGCCCAAGTTTTTTTATAAATCAAAGTAAGTCTTGTAGAAAACAGTTCACTGAATTCCTTAAAAGAAGGCAAAGCAAGTCATTAGAGGTCTAATATGCAAATCTCTTAAAATTACACGAAAACAAGATTTAGTGAGATTTCAAAAGCTATACAGAAACTGTACTATTACAAGTACATATTTGGGCACTTTTTTGTTTGTTTTTGAAAAATTCCCTGAATCATAGAAGGGAGGTATGTGACGTTAAACATATATCTAATTTTGAATGGCCATTAAAAGATTATGATAGAACCTTGTTTCATGGCTTTTACTTTTCTCCTCCTCTTCCCCATCCCATGGAGGCACATAGTCCGAGTCATCTGAATTAGACTCCCACTCATCACCTTCTCTCACTTTGAAGGAAAACAACATGAGATTCTTCCCATCTTTCTTTTGTCCTAAGATTCCACGAGACATGGTAATGTGTGGAGATTTATTCACGTCATGTACTCATTCTGTCTGTTTGGCGATCTTTAAATCTGAAGATATAAAATAAAAATAGATAATAGTGGTACAGCACAGTGTGCCATAATTTAATCAAAATACCTTATAGTTACATGTATACAGCTTTGTTAGTTAATTTTTACAAAGGTGTCATATATCAACAAGGTGAGACCCAACCTTGAAACTGGTGTGACAAATCCCTGACAAAAATCTATCACTTTCCATTGCCATCTTAAAAATTACACAATGTGCAAAATGTCGATTGGGGATACAACTGCATAAAAAGAATGCTAAAATAATCAGGAATTTATTGAGGAAGGTATTTGAATTGTAGGAGCCATGGATTTTTCTCCCACTTTGACAAAAGATTGACACGTTCTCAGGACTATATGTAATAACCTTCGGTAGCAAGTCGCGACTACAGTCACAGTACAGTACAGTGGCTAGCCCTTATGGCTCAGGGGTAGAGCGTCTGACTCTGAGAGCAGAAGGTCTTGGGTTCGATTCCCGCACTGGGCATTGAATTTAGCACACTCTCTTTCTAGTATCTGGCTAGGTACACTACAGCTCCCAATTTAAACATTTTTGCATCAAGGGCCGAATAGGCACGGACGTTAAACCTAGGGCGGGCCACAAGATATGTCAGATAAGAAATAAGGCCCAGACTGGGTTTAACTTACTCGAGTCTCTAGCCAATACTTGGCTAGAGGGGATTCATCTGGAATACTGTGAACTCTATTTGAAAAAAGCTGGTCGTGGTGTCATAAATTTATTGAATATTTTAAAAATCGCCAGAAAAATAAATCATTAATCACAGCGGACCCAGCTCGGCTCCTTGATGAGATATGACATGATTTCATCAGGATTTCGTCTAAAATTAAAACAAAATGGCTCCAAGAAAAATGGCGATGTTCGAAAACTGGACGAAATGTCGTTAAGGTAACTTATAACTCAATCAAAAAATCCAAGATGGCCGAAACCAGGAAGCACATGGCATTTGAGTATAATCTGACCATCAAAATTCAACGACTTCTCAGGAAGAGTTTGAAAATTTCAAGATTGTGAAATTTTCAATTTTTTCTGAAAATCGATTAAGTTAACAGTCACCTTAAGGTTCAACTGGAAAGTAACATTTTGGTAAAAAATTGCTATACCTGCACATGTTATTTTCTGGTACAAAATTAAGTATGAAGGCATATGTGTATTTCCTTGCTTTTTTCAGGAAAGTATCATTACACTATCTTCTTTTAGAATATCTGGAAACAGGTCAATGGTAGCTCCTGTGTTGTCTGGAAACTTTGAAAGAAAATTTGGAAAAATAGAAAGTGTGAAATATCAGAATTTCCTGGAGTTCCCATTGAACGCCTACCAGATATTTTAAAAGAAGACAATGTAATGATACTTTCCTGAAAAAAGCAAGGAAATTGACACATGGCTTCATACTTTATTTTGTACCAAAAAATAACATGTGCAGGTATACAGTTGGGGACATAAATAAATGACAGGTGGATTTGCTGAAGTGAGGATTTCCCATGTTAAAAATAAGAGAATTTACAAGAGGCCATAAATCAGTGGATGAGATTATACAAAATGTAAAATATACAAATTTTAAGGGATATGTATCTAGACAATATTGGAAATTATGGGCTTTCAGACCACCATAATTAGGAAATGGTGATCGAAAATCGACCTGTCATTTATTTTTGTCCCCAACTGTAGCAATTTTTACCAAAATGTTACTTTCCAGCTGAACCTTAACTTGTTGAACTACAGTTGAGGACAAAAATAAATGACAGGTCGATTTTCGATCACCATTTCCTAATTATGGTCGTCTGAAAGCCCATAATTTCCAATATTGTCTAGATACATATCCCTTAAAATTTGTATATTTCACATTTTGTATAATCTCATCCACTGATGTATGGCCTCTTGAAAATTCTCTTATTTTTAACATGGGAAATTCTCACTTCAGCAAATCCACCTGTCATTTATTTATGTCCCGAACTGTATGGTTTGAGTTTGAGAAAATCCACACTAAAGCATGCAGTCAACACTGAACTAGATGTGCCTACATGAAAATGGTACATACATTAGTATTATTTAGAATTACGTATGTTTAATTTTGCTAAAATACCGGCGAAAATGTAGAAAATAATGCGAAAGTAAAACTTACCAAATATTACCGGAAGTTTGAATAAATTGAACGTAATCGGGTAGAATGAGAAAAGTTTTGAATGTCTTTTCTGAGTACATTTACCTACTTATTATGATATATTCTTGTCCGAGGTGAGAAATCAAAATACAAAAACACAAACATTTATAATACTGACGTCTTAGTTGGATAGCACACCGAGGAAATATAAAAAGGAGCACTTCCGGTCAATTTAAGGTGTCACTCCTGTAAATCATTGAAAAATATTGAAAAAATCACAAAATTCAAGTTCTGGGGTACATATCGCCATTTTCGAACGATCTAGCCCATACAATGACTATATTTCTGCGCTCCCCTATACATAACCTTCATCTTGACTCTATATTTAACATAGGGTTTGCGTCTCGATTTTTAGATATCACTACGCCAACATAGGGACTCATTTTCAGGTAAAATCCCTGCTTCACCCAAGCAAGGGCGTTACAATACCCGGGAGTTTATCGGTTCGTGCAGTACTTGTTTGTGATAGCGCCCTCTGTAGGTCACTATGCTTAATAGCCTACAGTAATACGGGGTAGGATATCGGGAATTCGGTCAGTTTCTATCCGTCGATTACGCTATGAATTGAAGCAAGTGTGACCACTTTATCCACTTAAACAATTTGATAATTGATTAAATATTTAAACAAAATCGATAAACACGTTATACACTTCCTATCTCCTTAGAAATTAGCATGTATTTATGGATTGTGTTTTCGAACAAGGCTCGACCCAGACCAATAGGGAAATCCTTATGCTAATTAGTATGACGTCATATTTTCCTGGGGAATCCTAGATTTCAAAGCCTCAGTCTGTTATTGTGACAAATGTAAACGCTCTTTTGCAGACAGAAAATTGACAGATTAGCTTTTAACTTTCAGCTTTGATGTTTAAATATTCTGTATTTCTACCGGACTTCTTGCTGAATATCATATAATGTTATAACTTGATTTGGACCATTGCCTGATTGATCATTCTGAAATTTTGATTGTGATTCATGATTGATTGGCGAGAAAAATAATTCCTATTATTTTCCAGCAAAATCAAAATGTTACAGCATGAGTTATAATGTCGAGTTTGCATCATGTTAAATTCTGCTAGTGATTAGAAGTCCATGCACAAGCATACACATAAGAGACAAACACACCCAGGCTCCAGGCCGTGGATGGAAATATAAAAGTATTTAAGGCACAAACTGGTATTTAATAGACCGATATGTAGTGTCTGCCATGTATTGAAGGTAACAATCTGCATTATTAATGTTACTTCTATCGATGCATGGATTGTGCAATGCAAAAGCAATGGCACAATCAAAAATGTGCATATCAATCGTGAATATCTCTCGGTTCAAAGCTTATTTCCAACAGAATCGTGTCAAAATTTGTGTCTGAGTAACAGAATATACATCATAAGATCGCAAACTCTTACCAATTATCAGCCGAATGGCTCATTTTCAACGAAATGTCCTTAAGACAACAGCCCTGGGTCGCGCCTGAGACCAAAAACTATTTCAAATAGGCCTCCCCTAAATATATTGGATAATCACATTTATGCATGCGCGCGCAGCTCATCCACTGAAAGTATTTGGCCTCAGCTTTACATACATACCTCAAATGGCCACATTGCATATACTTAAACCTACTATACACTAGTGTTGTCGCGATGTGCCATAATCGTACTTCGATGCATCGGCAATTTTCAGTAGTAAACATCGATGCACATCGCGATGTACATCGAGAAAAAGTCCGAGAAAAGTGCACTGAAATACCGAACGCTAATGCACTAAAATACCGAACATCCGGGAGCTTCTAGAAAGGTGAAATGAAAGTAAAGTAATTTTTTTAGATTAATGGTTCATTTCGAATAGCTAAAACAGTTTTAAAGCGAAAGAATATCAGAAAACATTGGAAAATGAAATAAGACATGAGAAAGGTAAGCGATTTGCGTCAAAATAAGATAAGAAAGGGTGATTTTTAGCAAATTAATTTAAAAACATCGATGTTTTGTTTCAGACATCGATGCATCGCCAGAATCAGCTTTGGCGATGTATATCGCGATGTATCGATTAATCGCAACAACACTACTATACACACCATTGAAGTTGGCATGGCTTCGTTTTTAAAATATTAAAAAACACCGGAAAAGCTATTTACCGGAGTGACACCTTATAGTCTGCATTATTCAAAATTAACTCATGAACTTAAAACATTCTTATTGTCTATACAGGTTACAGGTATCCTGATTTCATTGAATCATGTGGACATCAAATGAAACTGAGTGTCTGGGGCCTGTCATCCAAAGTGAAATGTCTCTTATTATAGAGGATCGTGGTCCTCTATTCAGAACCAAAAGACTTATCGCATCGTACGACCCCTTTAAATTGTGGTCGTACGCCCATATCATTGCTCTATCGAGGTTTCTACATCGGTGAAAATACTACGCATTGCATTAAATGACCTACCTCGATATATTCAAGAAATCCTAATTTATGTTCTGATCATATACAAAAAGATATCGTATGGGTGTAATAGCCGAGCGAGATCTTTTGCTTTTTAGAGCGTACTTTTGCTTGCTCCGGGCAAGATGGCGCCCGTTCTACGGAAATTGCCGAGATCCGAAATCTTACGAGGTGTCACTCCGGTAAATGGCACTTCCAGGTAGGACAGTGTTTTTTAATACTTTAAAAACGAAGCCATGCCAACTTCAATGGTCTATACAGTAGTGTTGTCGCGATTAATCGATACATCGCGATATACATCGCCAAAGCTGATTCTGGCGATGCATCGATGTCTGAAACAAAACATCGATGTTTTTGAAAAAAATTAATTTGCTAAAAATCACCCTTTCTTATCTTATTTTGACGCAAATCGCTTACCTTTCTCATGTCTTATTTCATTTTCCAATGTTTTCTGATATTCTTTCGCTTTAAAACTGTTTTAGCTATTCGAAATGAACCATTAATCCGTAAAAAAATTACTTTACTTTCATTTCACCTTTCTAGAAGTTCCCGGATGTACCGGATGTTCGGTATTTTAGTGCATTAGCGTTCGGTATTTCAGTGCACTTTTCTCGGACTTTTTCTCGATGTACATCGCGATGTGCATCGATATTTACTACTGAAAATTGCCGATGCATCGATGTACGATTATGGCACATCGCGACAACACTACTACGAGGGTTGTCCCAGAAGTAATGCACTATATGCTCCAACTTTCTTAAATATTCTTCAATTCAGCTGAAATTTTGTGTATATAACAATTGAAGTTTTATCTATTATATCCTGAAGTTTCAGCATCAAACATTAATATTAAGTCTTGATATGGTTGTTATAACAACATGGGGGTAGGGGTGGGCGGGGCAGGTACCAATTTTCTAATTATTAAAAGATCTAAAGTGTTATTTTATTAATATTTCTTTCCTTTAAATGATCAAATTGTTTAGGAAATTGTTAAATATATTCAGCATGATGTTAACCAAGTACAAATAATGACATTTAACACTGTGATGTTATAATAACACATTTCAATAGTCGCGAATCCAAATACAGTCACAGTCAAGAAATGACAAAAATGGCTGCAATTCTCACCTGATAACAGAAGGCCTTGCGTTTGGTGGCCTAATTTCATACTTCACTTTGACTCACAGCCACGCAAAACTTATGCTACCATGAAGAAAGTATACAAGGGGTATATACCAGATAAAACTACAATTATGAGGTGGCAGAAGAGATTTAAAAGAGATGATTTGACCCTGGATGACAACTCCAAACATGGGAGGCAAAAACTCCACAAGTCACAGTGGAAGAAATTACCAAGTGTGTTTGACCTGACAGGCATCAAAAGCACATAACATATAAAGGGCTATATTTTGAGAAAAATGTGAAATGGGACACTGTGCAATATACATCCATTAAATCTAGGATGTGCTCATAGTAATTTAGTATCTTAAAATGTATTTTTGAGCATACTTCTTATAGCTTCACAAAATGGTATTTGTTGATTAATTATTTCATATTTTCAATTTTTTGTTCCTTTTGACGTGACTGTATAACCTGCCCCACCCTACCCAAACTCACCAACTTGATTTTATTATAACATAAATATAGTTTTATCAGTCAACGTGAATTTTTTTAGAATAATCAAAATGTCTCTAAAACATTTACTGAAAATTTCATGGAAAAATATCAATTATTTATAAAGTTATAGCATATAGTGCATTACTTCTGGGACAACCCTCGTATACAGTAGGTTTAAGTGTATGCAATGTGGCCATTTGAGGTATGTATGTAAAGCTGAGGCCAAGTACTTTCTAAATGTGCCATTTTAAGAAAAAAATCGCAAGAATATAGTCCCGTAAACTGGAACTACTTTATTCGTTAATTTTCATCGGTGAAGCAGGGATTTTACCTGAAAATGAGTCCCTATGTTGGCGTAGTGATATATAAAAATCGAGACGCAAACCCTATGTCAAATATAGTGTCAAGATGAAGGTTATGTATAGGGGAACGCAGAAATATAGTCATTGTATGGGCTAGTTCGTTCGAAAATGGCGATATGTACCCCAGAACTTGAATTTTGTGAGTTTTTTCAATATTTTTCAATGATTTACAGGAGTGACACCGAAGGGAGTCCTCATCCGGGTTAGTCCAGAGAAAAATGGAGGTGTTTCCGGTAAGATACTTTTTCAATTTTTCGTCAATGTTTTCATTATTCACCGCCGTATCGACCCACTGTTTGCTCATTTTTATAAACTGGAGAATCAAACATGTTTGCATCTTTCACCAAGCGTGTTTAATTCGACCCGGCCGATCAGATATGCCGAAAGAACAACATGTTTATTATTTCAAAATTTTTGTTCAATTTTTTTCTTCATTTTTATCATTTCTTCAAAACATAGCAATAGACTAGAACATACGGTTGTGGGAACTCCTGCATGATGTATTATATTTTTTCTATATAAGTCTATACTCTAAATTGTTTTTAAAAAAGTCTCCATTTCAAATTTTCTTGGAAAAAAATTGTGTCCTGCCAAAATGTCTGACAACGGATTAGTCCATAAGGCATAGGCAAGCACTGTTTGACAAAAATTGTACTATCAATTTGGACCTGTGGAATATTCTGAGGTAGCCTATGCAATGCGTAGTATTCTCTCCCAACGTTGTAGATACAATATTTTATTGTGCCTTAGACTATCATACTTTTCATTCGTTGCATTCTCATCTTGTTCCGCTAAGTTGCATTCCATTTTCCCCTTGGAAATTATCAATATAGATGGACTATGTGAAATATAATTCTGATCTTAGCAAGTCAACCATAGCGTGCTGTATGTTTGAATTGATTTATGACCCAGGCTTTGACATTGACTTCTTGGGAGCAAAACCTCTAAATTTTAGAGGATTATTTGTTGTTTGATTTGTCCAATGTCAATAGACAGTGAGTGACGTAGCTACATGTCAGCCAAGTACGTACATGCATACTCTCAAATTTTAGAGAAAAATATAATTTCCGAGATCATTTGCGATAAAAATAAAATATTTCACAAAATCATATTTCAGTCAGTTCCTATTCATTTTTATGAAATATCTAGTAGTAAGAACGTTCTTTGTGTTCATAATTTTGTATGGGCAAACTGATGTGTGAAGTGGTAAAGTTATGAACGCGAGACTTGTGAAGTTACATGTGTTCTCACATGTAATTTTCATCTCCGGTAAAAATTTAAAATTGAAACTCATTTTGCAAGCTAGGTAAAAAATAAAGACAGAAAAACATAATATATAAATGATTTTGCAACTTGTCTCGATACTTGAGGGAGGCACGAGGATTAAGAGTACATTTTACCATGACTACTTTTTAAGTTAACTCACATTATATTCTTCAAATTGAATATACAAATAGAAATAGAAATAGCGGATCAGATTTGAATGCGGTCTCTTCAAATATGAACATAAGAGATATAGTACATTGAATTATCATATGAATCCGAAGATATTGAAATACTGAAGATATTGAAACTAAATTGAATATGTAATGTAACAATTATATTATATAACATGAGTGAGTGAGTCCCCATTCATCTTATTATCTGGGGATCTTCCCTTTATATACCCGTATTTTCCAGAATAGGTTTTTTGAATTATTTTTGGTAATAAAAGGTAAATCTGACAGGTGTACTCTGGCATAATGGGCTAGCTACGCCTCTGATAGACCTAATGTCAAGATCTTATACACTGTGAAGTATTTGCTGTTAATCTTTTTATGAATGGAAACACATTTATTTCACTGTTGTTTTAAAGTTCTCATTCAACAAGTCTTTTTGCCATATTGAAACACTGTCTGGCATGTTTCTCTCAGTTGTTTCAACACCTTACCCATGGGCCATGCGCATGACTCTGAAGCATTTGCTGTTTTCATGTAAAGAATGAGAACACAATTGTTTCATGGTTTCAAAGTTCTCCTTCGACCCATTGAAATAGCTAATTCCAACTACAAAACAAGTTTCATATTGTTATAGTATTGCATTGTAAAATATATGATTGCAGGAGGCAGGTTGATGTAACTATAACAGATGCAGTATAACTAAAAAAGGTGTATAACTACTATAACTGATTCAGTATAACTAATGATGGAGTATAACTAATGATTGTGTATAACTACTAAAACTGATGCAGTATAACTAATGTGGATGGAACTATAAGTGTAACTATATCTGATGCAAGAACAATCTGTCATATCAAAATGAGTTCCTTATGTTTGATTTGTGATGAACAATTTCAAAGATATGAATTTTCCTACAAAAGAATGTCCTTGGCCGCTATAAAGAAGGATAAAAATCTGAATGGAATGCTACAACCTAGTTTTTCTCAGCTTGATTTCAAGAAATGTTTTATTTGTCACAATTGTGTGAGGCGTTATAGAGAGGTGGTAAAGCTGAAAAGAGACATATTTCAAACCCCAACTTGTACCCCAAAGTCAAAAAGGAAACCTCCACAAAGTCCAGTTTATAAGCCGTCATATCAAACTAGTGCTACGTCAAGACATATAGACCATACATACTCTACAATAAGAACCCCACCAAATAAAAGAAAGTCAAATTCAAAACAGTTCAAATCAAAATCACAAAGTAACTGAAAAATGGGAAATATTCCTCACTATTGAAACTGCTTTATTCTAAAAGTTCGAAGTTTAGAGCTAGCCTGACAACATTCATCTCAACAAAATCACAAGCAGAAATGAAGGAAGCAATAAAAAGTAAACCAAAAGTAATCAGTGATTGGAAAAAACTGCATTTCAAAATGCCACTTATAATGTCATCACTAAATGGAGCCATGCCAAAAGTACCAAAAATGATGAAACATGTACGTCTTGGGAAAAAGGAAAAAATTAGGTAACATTTTTTTTGACAAATTGCTTCTAAAGTACTCTGATAGAACTCCTTCATAAAAGTCCAATTATGTCATAGCACACGTCACTGTTCACACTAGTGCTATAAATGAAGTTAATCTATTATACTTATCATTTAATGAAGTGTCTGTATCGCAAATAGAGTTTCGTCATTTTGATTTGGATGTCAGGTTATCTGTAAATAAAAAGACATCTATTTATGCAGTTTGCTTACTCAAATTGAATGGGTTCTTAGAGTGTCCCAAATCTTCCATCCTCAACTGTAAGCATTATATTGTGGAGCCATTTTAAGGTTTCTTTGAACTAAAGCTTTGTTTATTTATTGAGTATTATTGTATCCACATGAATTTATCTTATGAAAACACTATGTTAACATTTATAATTGTTTCACAGGACTCTGACCATTAAGGAAAAGCAGCGGTATATTGATGCCAGAGTATCAACTATACTATCTATGCTAGTGTTTTCCAACAACCATCGTGTTTCAGCGATGCAGAAGGCCTTAGGGGCACAACTTTGGCGACATGGATGTGATTCGCAAGTATGTCATATGTCATTATAATTGTCAGGCCATTAGATAATAAGTACCTCTGTTAAAGTAAGTTTTGATTGCTCAATAGTTTTGATAGTGATCCATTTAACCCTTTCACCATATGAAGCCCTATTAATTATGTAATACCTTTCAGGATGATCGATGGGCTCCTTTTGTCACCATTATATTTAATTATGTCTCCAGTTATATTCAGTATTTTTACACCAAATTTTGACAAGTTCTTGAAAGGTGATAATTCTTATTAATAAAGTAGATTGCTCTTACTTTTCTATCGCCAACATTTTCCTTTCATTTTACATCACTGTGCACACTGTATGTACAGTGATCGTCTACTATTAAAAGTGCGTGATCAAAGACTCGACAAGATGCGCAAAATTCAAATATTTTGTAACGGTTATTTTTAAAAGATTTATTTGTGTTTATATTAAAGGCTACTGGTGATTCAATTAGGTTTTGTAGGCACAAGAATACCCATATGCTTTGAGAAATATATATCAGTTTGACCATTTTTCGTATATGTTATTGATTTTACGATGTAAAGATATAAATGCGATATAATATGTGTTATTTTATCTAAAAAGCTTAAAAATATCAAAAACGATAGAACATTTTTACTTTCTTTAATTTTCATATTTAAGTGGGGTCTTTGGCTTCCATTTGACCATGATGAAATTTACGTTTCCTCTTAAATAACATGGAATAAATATTTTAACACAGAAACGAATGGATCAGCCTATAGCGTGAGTTTCAGCAAACCATACTCCCTTTTCATACATGCTTTTCAAGAGAAGAAAAATGGGGTTTCTCGCAAAATGTATGTCCAAAATAAACATGTACACCACCATTCACTGATTCAGTCAATTAAATGGTCACTGTGTGCGCGTACATTTTGTTTTTCTGCCTAGGTTTGAATACATTGCCATTAAATGATATGTACACTGTAGAGTAGAACCTGCTAAGTGAAACACCTCTTGAAGCGTAACACCTTATAAGTGGAACAGTCCCATTTCAGTCCATTTATTTTACCCTCTGATTCCAAGGTATGAGAACTTTACACATTGGCATCCAAGATGATTGCCGAATTGTAATGCAAGAATTGAATAAATTATAAATAAAAATGCATGTCACTGTATCGCCTATTGTCATGATTGTGCCTGTTTTGGACATGGGTCTCATAATGAACTAATAAAATTTGGTCAAAATGAATCATTCTTAGGTATATTATGAAGAATAGAATGTCATAAAATTCTTTGAAAAGTATTAAAGTGCTTTGGCACACATTGGCTGAGATAGGGGCCATTTAGTTCAGTAAGGTTGTATTGACTTACATGGGGCTGTGCATCATTGACTTAACATGAGGATATCAGCAGATCCCAATAGACATGATAGAGCCCATTGGTTTCCATTGATTATCACAAAAATACACTATGACCTGAATCGATTGCAAACTTAATACTTTCACAATATGACACAACTGGTTTATCTCATGAATTTGTGCAAATATGAAGTTTGCAATCGATTCAGAGGTCATACTTAAGATTAAAAGATTGTACTTGTTTACTGTACTCCGGGTAAATTTCGACGCTATAAAATTTCGCGATTTTTCAAAATTGCAATTTCGCGGCTATTTAATTTCGCGGATTTGAGTTGATGACATTTCGCGGATTGCACAAGTTGAATTTTTTCCGATTGCCGTGAATCAATGCGGGCTATTTTAGCCCGTTCAGAATCCGAATAATGTTTGTATTTCTCACGTTTAGGGCATTTATTTGAATATTCTTGAATGGCTTTTTCAACTTCAATTTGTAGGATATCATTGTCGTCAACAGTTCTTGCCTTTGTTGGCCTACCTGTAATAAGCCAATTCAAAATGATTTTAGGCCTTCGCCCAACAACACTGGAAGAAAAGTTTCACACCGAACAAAACATATCAAAAGGCCCGGGTCAAATCCCCGGGGATTTAAGACAAATTTCGCGACGATAAATGTTCGCGATTTTACTACATTCGCGAACAAAGCGAAATTAAATCGCACGCGAACATTACCCGGAGTACAGTAATCATTTTTTTCCAACAAAATGGCTATAGAAAAATGCTCCAAAACAACTTTAACACTCATCAAAAATCATACAACTTTGTAAAGCCAAAGAATATACCATTATACTTCATTATGTAGTAACATATATGGATAGGATCTCCCAATGGAGAGTGCATATGGTCCTTTGCCTCTATTTACAGTAATCTTTCTCATCTTCATCTCTTCTTCTTCATGATGTTCTACAAGGTGGTTTATAATGATTTGAAATTTAGGAGTTCGTAATGAAATGCAAAGAACATATCATTAGAATCTACATGGTAAAATCACACACTTGGCTGATCATAAATTGTTTTCATAACATCCTTCTAGTCTATTCTTACTCGATACTGAAGGGGAGTTGGAATGTCTGATATGCATGTAATGTTAAGTATTATGTATGTTAACCATAGGCATGTTGGTTTTGTGGTTTTGGTAATCTAAAAACAGAAAATTTGGTGAAATATACATTTTCGTTCGGCGGGGTTTTGATTTTGCTTCATTTATCAATTCAGTTCATGTATTTCGGTTAGGCCAATCACTGGATCCTGTTACCAAATGAATCTCGAGTCTCTTATACAGCATATGGAATACCATCTGTAGGTAAAATGACATAAGGGTGGTAAAGAGATTAGAGAAGAGAAACAAACGTACCTTTCCTCCGACATTTCGAATTTTGCGCATCTTGTCGAGTCTTTGATCACGCACTTGTAATAGTAGGCGATCACTGTACATACAGTGGTGCAACTTTGTATTTTCAATTGTGTTGCTTTTTTAACAGATGATATCCAAGCTCAATGAGCTGGGCCTGACTGTATCACCAAAGACTGTTTTGAAACAAGTGGATGAAATAGCTAAACATCAGACCTCTAAGGTAAAAATCATATAAAGGGAACGTAAGTGCTGTCTATATACATGTATATACAGAACAAATCAGTCGATGTGTCATGAAAAAGAATCTGTGAACACTTTAAATTCAAGCATTGATAAGTGTAACCCACTTCAGTTAAAGTCCCCGTCTAAAGTTTGAAATTTTTTTTTTTCATTCATTTACTATTTGTCAGGACTTAAAAAGTGATTTTAGAGATTTTTGAACAAAAAAAATTTTTCAAAAAAAAGTTATTAGCATTTCATTTCTCAAATATTCAAATTTCCCGCCATTTTTCAAAAAAAGTTGAAATTTCTTAATCATCAAATATTTATTAATGCATTTCAAAAAAGATTATCTTTTTAACACCAATGCAAAGATTGAACAAAAGACACGCTATTTCAATAATAAAATGTCATATTTAATGGGTTACACCAATGTTTTAGCTTATCAAAAATATTTTGAAACATTAGTGATGTCACTAAGGTAACAAAAACTTTTTGAAAAAAATAGAATTTTTTTTTTCGATGTCAATCTTTTCTAAATATGCTAGACTTTCATAAAAACCAATGTTGATTGTCTAACCAAATTAAAAGGAAGAATAAATTATGTTTTAGATATCATTGTACCATTGGTTTCTATGAGAACTAAAATTTTGAAATGCATTTTTCTCAGAACCATTTTCATGCACTGATAAGTTCATTTCTCGCTTGTTTATCAACCGATTTTCTTAATTTTTTCGCCAAAAAACATGGGAGGATGAATGCTATGCATTGATATGAATTGTGGCTAATAAGAAGATATGAGTGACCTCTAAAAGTTGGTTTAAAATAAATTCACAAATTTTGGAACAAAAAGTCTCTCAAAAACCACTTTTTGAAATTAAAAAAAAAAGTTTCACATATCACACTTTGATAACATTGGGTAAGACTACAATATTAGCCAAAGTGGTTTAAACTTTACATGGGGCCTTTAAGTAAACTATTAATAACTATTATTAAAGTAAATTATTTAGGTACAATATCTATTTGTTTCAGACCACATGAAAAGGGCCCATGGTGCATATACTAGTAAAAACATTTTGAGATTCTCCACCCTTGCTGGGACTGCCTTACATGAAGTCGACAAGATGTATGCAGGAGGCTATCTTGCCAAGGAGGTGACTCCGCTAAGACGCAGTGGGTCTACTAAATATAAGAGTGATGTGAGAGAATTTGTAGAGGAATATAGAGGGGACATACATCCTTTCCAGGTTTTAAACATCTCCCCTTCCTAAGGCAGCCCCAAGAGTTTGGGAAGAAAATGGCCAAATTTTCAATGGAGATTGACACCTGGCCTAACATTGTGGCTAATTATAACAACTAACTATAAAAGGAAAATAGTACTTGGACATTTCAATGTCTTATATATGCTGTACTACAGATTTTGCATCATCCATTTGCAGAGTTTCAATATCCAGGATAAAATATATAAATTTCAATTTCACACATTGGATATTGTTTTGGGATAGTTGGGGTTTTTGTTCCATTTTGACAGTAAACTCTTACTCTTTTTATTATCGCACTTTGAAAAAGTGCTATATTGTCGTTGTCTTGTGCTGTTGGGTGGGCGGGCGGGACATAAACCAAATCTTGTCATCAAATTTCCAGGATAACTGCTTACCTGTTCAACTTGAAATTTTAACAGATGCAAGAGCAGACTAGTACCAAGATCTGATTAGGTTAAGGGCATGCTGGGTAAACTATGTGGCAGCCATTTTGAATTTTTCAACAAATCTTGTCATCAAAATTCCAGGAAAACCACTTATCCTTTCAACTTGAAATTTTTACAGATGCAAGAGCAGACTATTGCCAAGATCTGATTAGGTTTTGGGTATGCTGGCTGAATTACATGGTGGCCATTTTGAATTTTTGAATTTGGCGGCCATTTTGAATTTTTCAACTTGCTCTAAATTGACCAAATTTTTTTTTAAAAACATCTACAAGTTCTCAGAAGTTCAAATCTGACCTTAGATTTCAGATTTGACCTTTCATTCACCTTCAGTGACCTTGAAAAGGTCAAAAAAGTTGATTTTCTAAATTGATATTTTGGATTTAAATTTAGGTCAGCTTAATTACAAAACACCTACTGAGGTCTGAAAAAGTGAAATTTTCAAGGTCGAAAGTCAAGGTCATTAAACTAGGTCACAAATGATGTTATCCAAGTTTCTCAAAGTTTGAGACTACAAATCAATTCTTGTCATCAAAATTCCAAGAAAACCGCTAACCTGTTCAACTTGAAATTTTTACACATGCAATAGCAGACTAGTGCCAAGATCTGATTAGGTTAAGGGCATGCTGGGTAAACTACGTGGTGGCCATTTTGAATTTTTCAACAAATCTTGTCATCAAAATTCCAGGAAAACCACTTATCCGTTCAACTTGAAATTTTTACAGATGCAAGAACAGACTATTGCCAATATCTGATTAGGTTTTGGGTATGCTGGCTGAATTACATGGTGGCCATTTTGAATTTTTCAATTTGGCGGCCATTTTGAATTTTTCAACTTGCTCCAAATTGACCAAATTTTTTTTTTAAAAACATCTACAAGTTCTCAGAAGTTCAAATCTGACCTTAGATTTCAGATTTGACCTTTCGTTGACCTTCAGTGGCCTTGAAAAGGTCAAAAATTTGATTTTCTAAATTGATATTTTGGATTTAAATTTAGGTCAGCTAATTACAAAAGACCTACTGAGGTCTGAAAAAGTGAAATTTTCAAGGTCGAAGGTCATCAAATTAGGTCACAAACAATGTTATCTAAATTTTCCCAAAGTTCAAGACTACAAATAAATTCTTGTCATCAAAATTGCAGGAAAACCGCTAACCTTGTCAACTTGAAATGTTTACAGATGCAAGAGCAGACTAGTGCCAAGGTCTGATTAGGTTTTGGCCATGCTGGGTAAATTGCATGGTGGCCAGTTTGCTCTTCAAAGTGCGATATTTATCACTGTGTGTCTTGTTGTTCTGTTTCTTGGCTGTTCCATGTGTGCGCCAGTCAACCCAACTGTTTGTTACATATTTTGTTGATAAGACACATTGAGATATTACCACAATTCAAAACTGAGACAATGTTTTATAGGAAGCATTTGTGATTGTTCAAATAAAATGTCACTGCTCACATTGCACGCCTGCACACTTTTGTCATCCATGCAATCATGAGATTCTGTATAATCTGTTATTTATTAATTGATGGTAATAGACAGGGCGAATAATGAGGCACAGAAGGTCATGGACACCTGCTTTAAAGAAGGATGCAAATTTTGAAGAAATGTGAACATAGAGTGTATTGTATTCTTTAAAACATTAAAGTACTATTGACCATACAGCTTTGTGGCATTCCAATAGTTTGATTCAAATGAATTTATTTGTGGAGTTCAACACAATATAGTGTGTAGTTTTCAATGTTTGATTTATGAACTGCATAGTTACACCTGTACATAGTTTTAACAGTTAAAGGGGCAACAAGGATTGTAGAGAGAAAATTCGAAAGTTTTTACTTTTTCTGAGCTATCAGGGCAACATTTGGATTAACATTTTCTTTGACATACCTATTTTTATTTAAAATGTATTTATAAGCTATCAATTTCAGCATTAAGAAGTGTTAATTCAGTTCAAAGCTTCTATAAAGGGAGTCCCATTTATAGATTTTTAAGATCCAAGTTTCAAGAGGAATATCAGCTGAAGTAATGTTCATTCAGGGGGTTTCTTTGTAGATAACAAAAATATATGTTAGTCTTGAATGAAATATCCATACTTAAATATATTTTGACACTGGTCCATGATCGTTGAATGGCCCCTCTGCACTCATTGTTGCACCTTTAACAATTAACATACATGTATTTCTGATTTATTATTAAACCTTACTGCAAGGGCAACCACTTGCACATAGGGAACAGCACTTACATGCATCACACTGGCACTTTGGACAATTTTTATGGCATGTGGTATGAGATATATTTAGCTTCCCCATCTGTGGAAGCCAAAGATGATTCAAAATATAGAGTCGTGTGCAAGAGCAAGTCCCTTGCGAAGAGATTAATGTGTAGTTGCAGTATCAGCTTCTTGGTAATTATACTTGATAGGAAATACTATGTATATTATCGTAACCACATATCAGGGATCTTAGTTGCATAACGATCCACCTTTGTGCGTAATCCTTGAATATGGGTACCCGTTGCCATTGAGTAACGCTGCACCATATATCATTCATGTGTCACAATATCAGAACTTTTATTCATATATATATATTTCCACACTATGTGTGTTATTGTTAATTACTATACTCACTTTGTAATCACTTTGTAAATAAACCCATAATCACGTTATCATTTATATTTAAACTAAATCATCTGTTTTGTCAGTTAGGTGTATGTTTTATGTCGCAGTGCGACATATTCAGCCATTTTGCCATTCAACCAGTCATGTCTGTAAAACCCTTGAGAGCATATACAATCACAGTACGCTCTAAAAGATCTCTCTCGGCTATTACACCCATACGATATCGTTTTTATGATCAGAACATAAATTAGGACTTCTTGAGTATATTGAGGTAGGTTATTTAAGTGTGCAATGCGTGGTCACGTATTTTCACCGAGGTTGTAGAAACCTCGATAGAGCAATTCGGGCGTACGACCACAATCTAGTGGTCGGTAGGATACGATAACTAAAAGACCCCAAAGGCCTGGCCGCGGCGATAATAAATTGCCCGGGAAGAACTAAGTCTTTAGAACAATTGTAGTCTTACATTTCTGCAGTGTCATGCAAACACGTCTAAACCATCGACAACGTACAGAGACAAAATATACGGGTGTACACTTTAGCTGTGCGTTGTCATGTTTGAAGCAAAGGTTATGTAGGTTTTAAAAGATTTATAAGGAATATAAAGTAGATTTCATGTTTAATTTCATGTCCATGCTCTTGACAAGACTTTTGACTTTCTAATTGCGTTATTAGATTCTCGAGCAGTGCTCGAATTTATTCTAGGCGATTCCACCCACATAATTGGCCGGCTGGAAAATACCTCGAAAAGCTCTGTTTGAGAATCTGTTAACCTGTTAACGTAATTAAAAAGTTATTTTAAAAGTCTTGCCAAAAGCATGCACATGAAATTAAACATGTTCCTTCATCATATTCCTTAGATAAAAACTTTTAAAACCTACATCACATTTTTTTATTCAAACAGCTTAAGTCTGTACACCCGTATATTTTGTCACTGTACGTTGATAGTTTGACTCGCAAAATGTCACACCTGTCATGTGTTACAGACGTCGCAGGCTGAATACCAACCACCGAACACCAACTGCTGTCACAAAAAAGACCATGACGATGTCACCACTTGTGGTGGTGACATGATTAATTCTATCTGTATGACAATGAATCTTCATCTAACATGTACAGAAAATCATGTAATTGCTTTTACAACTCACATCTGAATTGAAACTGTACTATTTTCCGTGCTTGTTAGTCTCCGACTTTTTGTAGACAGTGTTTGGCGTCTATAGCGGTTGGTTGTGATAGAAGAAGTTTATTTTTTATGGACCAACCATTGCATGTTTTGTTTTATCTGCCTCCCTCGATCTACTTACTAACCTAGTCTTATTGATTGTTGGATACTACAATTAGAGTTGAAAGCCCATGGATACTATTATATATAGGAAGATTCATTTTGTCAAGTTTCATTTTGCCCAGTATTGGTTAATTTCGGAAACATAATAGAGGATCAAACTAGAGATTATTAATCAAATGCACGTTGCTTCATTATTCGCCACACTGTCTTCCTTTTTTAAAATGTTTATCCACCTTGTTTATCTTGATGACAACCTTTAATTCAGAACTAGGGTCAAATTCGCCTCAGGCTACTAAATTCGCCAAATCAAATCTTCACCAATCTTTCAATTTCGACAAATTAAATCGCGCCAAATTAAAGTGATTAACAGTGTGCTAAAGGGTTTGTACCCGGTCGACCGGGTACCTAACGTTCCTAGCAGGGTTACCAACTTTCAAAGTTCCACATTTCCACCGATATAGAGTAGCGAATTGATTTGACAGACTTAGCCTACCGAGTGTAC